CCACCCCCCACCCCTTTCTCATCCTGCTGTTGTGCAGTGTGATCTGGGCAGAGGAGAGTGCCTCTGAGGGTGTGCAAAGTACCTTTGTTGTATCCGTGCGCAACATGCACAGCCTCACTCAGCAGGTGGCCATGGATTGGAAGGCAAAGTCAAAAAGACCTTCTGGGAAAAGGGGTTCATCCATTGTTCTGTTTTCCAAACTAAACATCTTGATAATTTAGCTGGCATTGCTTAAGCAGAAAGGACAGGAGTGAAAAATATCTCTCATCCTGTTTCTGCAACTGCCTGTCCTTTTTTCTCAGCAGAAACAGGATGATGGCAACATTTCTTCAAGTTTGGCTGGGACATGTCTCCCCGACATTGTTCTCTATGTAAGCACTTGTTAATTTTCTCCCTCAACGGAAGGGGGTAAGAAAGCCTTCCAACTAGCAAAGCACTACAGGGCAGGATTTGGGGGCATTAAGGCAGGAGATCCCCCCCCCAAATGAATACAAACAATTGAATGCATATTGCTATTTAAAAGAGAGCATTTGAAGATCATTAATTACCAGCTGAATGCCCACATCCAACTCTCTCATATGCAGAAATAACATGTGCTCAGCTACATAGGTGTTTGGAGACACAGATTTAGCCATATGATGAATTTGAACAAACCTAGCCATTTGGATTATTTATTTTCCTTGAGCATGAAAAAAATCTTGGATTCACCTTGATGAGACATTGAAGATCTCCATGCCAGTCACAGATTTTGGGCCACAAAGTAAGGATGCATTGTATTTTTGAACATGTGCAGGAAAGGATCAGTGGATAAATACCAATAGTTACTAGGATGACCAATTCCCCTTGTATAGAACCAAAGATTTTCTTTTTTAAATCTGCTCAATCATGTCCAATTCTCAGAGACTACCTGGACAAGTCCCTGCAGCTTTCTTGGCAAGGTTTTTCAGAAGTGGTCTGCCATTGCCTCCTTCCTAGGGCTGAGAGAAAGTGACTGACCCAAAGTCCCCCAGCTGGCTTTGTACCTAGTTCTAGGTGGGACTAGAACTCACAGTCTCCCAGTTTCTAGCCTGATGCCTGCACCAAACTGGCTCTCTAGAACCAAAGATCTGGGTCCCCAAACCCAAATCAATGAGGGAAGGGAAGGGATAAATAGAAATATCTGATAGGTACATTGGTGGACACTTGGGGGCATCTCTGCTTTGTCATGTTGCATCTTCATAATTATGATCACGATGATACTTCTCATACTTATGATTATGATATTACTCATGCATCTCAACCCTAGCCCAAAAGCTAGCTGTTGTCCACCGCCTCTGGGGCCAGTCCAGGTGGGGAGCTGCCTACATCTCTTAAAGAAGAGTTGTGCCTCCCACACCAGCTTTTGTAGCGAGAGCTATGATGCCCATCACCCATGCTGGCTGAGGGTGATTGCACTGGAATCCAACATTTTGGGGAATACTGTTTTTGTGGAGTCCTAAGTGCTCTCTGAGCTTGGTGGTTTGCTTGCAGACATTTCATTACCCAACTAGGGAACATCATCAGTGCTGGTGGGTGTGGGTTTGACCCCCTGTTTATATACAGTAGCTTGCCCTGCCAGTGTTGGTGTGTGTGGGGGGGTGTTTTTCTCCTTGGCAGTTCCTTGATTAGGGTATTGTTTTCTGCTTGATTGTTTGTCTGG